ATCAAGTCTAGGAATAGGATACCTATATTTAATGGTAATGTTGTTGATTGCTCGGCTATCAACGCACATGCGGTAAGTACCATCCTTCTTGGGGACAAGTAGAGCCGGGACGGAACATGGGCTCATGCTTTCTCGAACATACCCTTTCTTGATGAGCTCACCCACTTGTCTTTGCAGCTCTTTGGTTTCCTCCGGATTGCATCGATAAGCCGCCTTGTTTGGTAAAGTGGCACCGGGCAGCAAGTCGATGTGATGTTCAATGCCTCTAATTGGAGGTAATCCGGGTGGTAGATCCTCCGGGAACACATCTGCATAGTCTCTTAACAAAGAACGTATTTTGGGGTGTATGGGACGCTCTAACTCACTCTTTTCAACCACTAGCAAAGCAAACACATTCTTCTGCTTGCTAATAGCTCTCTCAACCCGTGTTTCACTCAAGAACAGATTTTCCTTACTAGTGTTTCCCTCCCCAGGTTGAGATTTAAGTATATGAGTCGGCTGCAAAGGTGTGAGGGTAATGCACTTCTTATCCTTGTTAAACGAATAAGTATTTTTATGTCCATCATGAACAGCCTTCCTATCATATTGCCATGGTCTACCCAACAATAAGTGGCATGCATCCATAGGGATAACATCACACAAAACCTGATCTTGATAGTTCTTTCCAATTGATAACGAAATTAAGGCTTGTTTGGTTACCTTGAGATCGCTTCCTTTGCTAAGCCATTGAAGTTTATATGGCTCAGGATGTTTGGACGTTGGCAACTTCAATTTGTCGACCAAGGTAGTCGACGCAACATTGGTGCAGCTCCCTCCATCAATGATGGTTGAACACACCTTCCCGTTAATGGTGCAACGGGTGTGAAAGATGTTCTCCCTTTGTCCATCATCCTTAGGAGAAATTATGGCGTGCAAAGCTCTCTAGATCACCAATAGTTCACCATCATCAGCAACCTCCATAACGTTCTCTTCAATTCCATCGGATTCAGCATCATCTTCGGCTTCTTGAAGTGATGAATTGATCTCATCAATTTCTTGAAGAGTCATAACTCGCCGATTTGGGCAATTAGCTTGGAAGTGTCCATAGCCTTGGCACTTGAAGCACTTTCTTTTGTCACCTTCAGTTCTGGCCGAGAACCCTTTAGTAGGTTCCGAAATTGCTTTCTCTTTGCTCTTGTCCTTTGTTGGTCCTTCCGGCTTGGTAGAAGAAGCACCCTTAAAGAAGGATGTTCCTTTTGGCGCAAATCTGGTTGTTGAGGCCTTGTTGCGCTTTTGTTGCTTTTCAACCTTCATGGCTAATTTGCAAACATCTTCAAAGGCCCAATAAGGTTGAAGTTCAACCAAATCAGCAATATCTTTGTTCAAGCCACCAAGGAACCGAGCAATGCTTTGTTCTGGCAATTCTGGAATATCACATCTCATCATGATTTGTTCAAATTCCCGGATGTATTCTTCAACGCTCAATCCTTCTTGTTTGAGAGTATTCATCTTGAGGAAAAGATCTTGCCTATAATGATCGGGCAAAAATCTCTTCTTCATGAGTTTCTTGAGTTTTCCCCAAGAACGGATTTTGCTCTTGCCTTCCCTAACTCGCTGGTTCTTCACATTCTCCCACCATAGTGAAGCATACTTTGTTAACTTCAAGATAGCAACCTTGCACTTCTTCTCATCCGAGTAGGACTTGAATTCGAACATTCGCTCTATAGCGTGCATCCACTCAACAAATTCATCAGGATTAAGATTACCGGCAAATTCAGGAAGTTCAACTTTGATGTCACGGTCATCTCGTGTATGCCGTCCTCTTCTCCTCCGTGCTTGAGGTTCTGAAGCACTTGAATCTTTTTCATCGGATTCTGAATCTCCATGGGAACTTCGAGACTCGGACTCATCTCGGTGTTGACGGGCGAAAGGATTTCTTGCGGGTCGGTCTAGGCGCTCAAATAAGCGCTCCATCTGTCTTTGGAGACCCTCGATGGCACGATCTCTCCTTTCATCGTGCGCTTGCTCCAAGGTCATGCCTCTTGGAACATCACCTTCCATGTTGCGAATTGATGTGTGAAACAGCAAAGGAATCACTCAAGATGAACTAACCTGTGCTCTGATACCAATTTGATGCGTGCGTGGGCGAGTGATTCCACAAAGCATCCAAACAGCAAATAAAGTAAAGATTCGATTAGGAACCAAGGTGTAAAGATTAGACCACCAACCAAGGATCTTCACCGAGAGGGATAGAACAATCTTCACCACAGCCTAAAGGCGCACCACCAGCCACAGATTCGATTGAGTTTGAATAGGTTCACCACCGAGAGCATAAAGGCAACGCCACCAACTCAAGGATAAAGGACCTTCGGCTCACCACCAAAGAGAAACCACTCTCTTAGGATAAAGATGCCTAAAAATTTGAATCAACTCACTCAGAGGAATTCTTATTCATTCACCCACCCCTTACAATGTAGGCCGAACCCTTATTTAAAGAGAAACTAGGACTTAAGATAGGAAACAACAAATTAGGAAACAAACCTAAGAGGAAATCCCAGAATAGGAAATAACCCAAGATAAGACTTCAAAATAGGAAACAACCAAAAGGGAATCAACATAACTCTTAAAATAGGAATCTAAATAAAATCTTCAAAATAGGAAACTAGAATGAATCTTGTGCAATCTCGTTGTGCAATCTCGTACTTCAACCGTAGCCACCAAGTAAAATTACCAAAAGGTATCCAAAGTGCACGAGAACAGCTCCACTTGACCTCCCATTGATACAACTCCTATTGGGCTTCAATTCAACCACTTTCTTTGACCCAATGAAGTACATAGTACCCATTCTTCAAGCTGCATTCTCCAATTAGTAAAGCTAGGCTTGAAGTTGAGTTCTCACCAGCTTGGGGGTTTTCTACATGTTGGGGGTTTTCGGATGCAACCGCATCAGTGGGTGCAATCACATTTGGTTTTAGATCATGTACCTATCAATCAAAAGAATTCCCACCGAGCAAAATGTGCGTATGTTGACAAAACAGCCATATGTAATGGTAATGATGGAACACTAAGTAAGTTCTCCAAATTTCAAAGAAATTTATATTCAAGTGAATGGTTCTCCAAACTTACTTGCATGTACACATTTACGCATGACAAGACTCATATAGCTGAAACCATGGCTGGGCAATATCACTACATCGGTCATCATATATATATATATATATATATATATTTTTGGTAACCCGGGAACCCCCCGCACGGCCGACAGCCGAGGAGGTAAACCCGGGGTGACGCTAGCGCAGGACCCACCACCACGACTTCACGCTTAAGAATCCCTAACGGGTCATCATATATTTGTACACAGAAAAAGCTATCTTTAAAGGAATCAAAATTTTATAATCTTAAAGATTTACCAAACTTTAGAACACCAGAAAGCCATGGCCTCTGTATCCTGTCCGTAGTATGTTTTCCAGCACAATGCTAAAAAAAGCCCGGTCTGACCCACGTGGGCCAAGCCCTAATAACTCCCATCCACTTGAGCCACGGGAGGTCACCCCCAAATATTTGAATCTCATAACAGAGATATTACATTCTTTGATATGGACAAAGCATAATAACTCCTATGTAACATTTAAATTCTAATAGAGAAAATGAAAATTTTGTAAAGTCCTCCAGAATAATTAATCCGTAGTTCATCATATTGCTCAATCATGCCTGTGATAAGAGGAACAAGGAAAGGCAAGGGAACAAAGCTCCCCCCATGCTGATCAGGTTGATCCTCCTGCTGAGAAATGGACTCCTCTATTTCGGAGGCGGAAGCCATACTGCTGTCACATTTCTCAACTGTCCGAATTATCTCTGCTTGAAGCTCATTATCCACATAATCCTCTGGTGACTTATGAGAACCACCGCGGGGCAAATTTTCTTGGAACCCTTACTTCAACGAAGGAAACTTTCTCTGACATCCCTCAGGTCTTCCAGTACATTCTTTTTTGTATCAAATGGGAGGTGTGCTATGGTTTATCTCCATCTCCTCAATTGAAAATGAATATTCAGGTGGCCCGACTCACAACTCTTACTCCTAACTAGCTTGAAACTTCTGGATGTAGGCAACTCTTTCTCCTGCATCATTGAATATGGTTTTTCAAGAGAAGGTTCTACATAATCTTGAGGAACACTGTCTAACGGTCTTGTTTCCTTCAAAGTTGATGATCCCAATTTCTCTTTTTCCTCATCACCTTCTTAGACCGCAATATAGTCTGAGATGCCTTCCTCTCCTCCACTGATGACATATCACCATTGCCACGGCAGTTCGAGTTTGGCTTTTCCATGTCAATAAAGCGTACTTCTCTGCAAAAGTCCTCGGAATTTTCATCAGTGTATTATCCAATGTCCTCCGGACATATGCTATTTCGCCTGGAGTGAGATATCGGAATTGAGAGCTGTGAAGAGGGGTCAGATAGTGAGGAGTTCTCTTCAAAGTCAGGAACGTGGATTATATGCCCCTCTGAATCACTCCTTCTGTGTTGATCTGAACACTGACATAATCAAATTTTATGATGCCAACATCCACATACCCGTTATCTGCTCGGTTTTCAGTATCCGAAATTGGGCTCGAGTTCCCATGAACCTCGCATGCGAAGTTTAGAGGAATCATTGCATGCATCCACCTCAAGTATTAAATGAACAGGAGATTCATTAAGGAATAATTGGTGTTATAAGTAGAGGATGGCAAAGCCATCAAGGAATCTAACAAAATAGAATTACCCGTCCAGTCGAAGGTTTCTGATTCACAACCAATCGGTGCAAATCCTGAACCTCAGACTGAGCAAGGTCTCGCTGTAGAGACAATTTTGCAATCTCTTTCTTGACTATTGGAGGATGAAGCCAAATAATATTATTAAGGGCTTTTTTGTCTTCTCAATTAATTTTGCTTTTATGTTTTTTTTTTTGGTCAGAAAGATAAATATGTCATTCACTAAGAAAGGATAGTAGGACCCGATAAATGGGCATCAGTACATAAGAGCTCCCAAAGTGCTTGGGGAGGGGAGAAGACCCAATTCAAAGGTAGGTAGTGTTTTTTGTGGGCTTTAGCAACCCAGTCCGCTACAAAGTTGGCCTCTCTATAACAATGAATAACCCGAATACTAGAGAAGGATCGTAGCAGGTCTTTGTATTTCAAGATAAGCGCGTGAACTTCCCAACTAAGTTGATATGGACTCTCTAAGGCATTGACTAAGTCCAAGCTGTCAGACTCAAGTATAAGGGCTTCATGTCGTTTGGGAAAGAAGTGAGTTAGGGCTTCTAACAAAGCAAGAGACTCAGCCATCGGCGGGGATGACGTTGCCACAGTACGAGCTGCTCCGTCCAGCAACCTTCCGACGGAATCACGGCAAACGCAAGTGACCGAACCGTCCGAAGCTCCAGGTTTGTACGCTCCATCTATGTTTATCTTATAAGTTCCATACAGCGGTGGATTCCAAGTCCCTAAAAGATCGTCGGCTTTGTTCCCAGATCTGCTTGATTTGGGGTTCCATCTGTTAAAACTCTTCAACCCAGCTAGAACAGAGTCAATGAGGCTGATTGTGTTAGGTTTTCTGTTCTTGAAGATGGCTTGGTTGCACGCCTTCCATATATTCCATAGTGTTGCAGCAACCAGCTCTAGATTAGGTGAGTTGCTTGACTTTCCTCTCAAACTCCCGAACCAATCTTCAATTCGAGTAAGACCCTGACTTGATATATGAACATTCAGCACAGGGTTCGACCAAATTTCCCTCGTCCAAGGACACAATAAAAACAGGTGCTCCACCGTTTCCACGCCTCGATTGCATAAAGAGCATGTGGGATCAGGTATAACTTTTCTTCGAAATAAATTCTCTTTAGTTGGGAGAACATTCTGGCATAAATTCCACATGACAATTCTAACCTTGGGTGGAGAGTGCAATTTCCATATATTTGTCCAGAGGGTGGGAGGAGGTTGAAAAGAAGTTGAGGCTTGATTTTCATTCTGTTTATTTGCTTTCTCTCGAATGTAGTTGTATCCACTTTTAACTGTGTACTTGCCTGCTTGAGTTCCGGTCCATACGAGCCAGTCTTTCTCTGTTTGGGGTTTAATCGGGATAGCAAGGATTTCTCTCACTAATTGATCCTCAAAATGTTCAGTTAAAACTGTTTCATCCCATATGCCTTCCTCACTAATAATGAGTTCAGAGACAAAACGTGGTTCATTTCTATTAGCAGGACCTCCTATGATTCCCCTCTTCAGCCATTTATCCTCCCTGATTCTAATCTGTGAACTATCCCCTACTGCCCACAGCACTTGGGGTGAGATAGAGTCTCTTCCTAGGATCAGACTTTGCCAACCCCATGAAGGGCGTTTTCCCTTTTCCGCATGCCAGAAATCTCTATGAGGAAAATAAAGGCCCTTAAATAGGATGGTCAAGAGAGAGTTTGGATTGTTACTCAGATGCCAAGCTTGCTTTCCCAACATTGCTTTATTAAAGGAGAGCAGATCTCTAAATCCCAGGCCACCCTTATCCTTTCTTGTCTTTAGAATATTCCATCTCTTCCAGTGAATTTCGGCTTTGGTCTCATTGGTTTTCCACCAGAATGAAGCAATTTTCTGTTCAATAGCCTTACAAATAGAAATCGGGATCTTAAAAACAGACATGGCATATTGTGGTAATGCTTGAACCACCGCTTTAAGCAAAACTTCTTTACCAGCTTTTGACATTAGTTTTGCCTTCCACCCTTCTAGTTTGGAATTGACTCGTCTTAAAATCCAAGCAAACATTTGTTTTTTCGATACTCCCCAATCTGAAGGAATTCCAAGATATTTGCCAGTTTTGTCAATAATAGGTACTCTCAATTCCCTTGCCATATTGTCTTACAGAGTTTGGGGGCAATCACTACCAAAGAAAATCCCCGATTTGTTTAAGTTTATAGCATGTCCAGATGCTAGGCAATATTGATTCAGGATAGATGCCAAATTCTGACACTCTAGAATTGTACCATTCAAGAAGAATATTGAGTCATCCGCACAGAGTAAATGAGAAAGGGTAGGACACCACCTGTTCAGTTTAATCCCTGTGATACTTCAATTGTCCACAGCTGTCTTCATTAATGAGGACAGTACATTTGCCACCAGAATGAAAAGGTAGGGAGATAGGGGATCCCCTTGCCTAATCCCTCGAGAAGGTTTGAAGTAATGGAGAGGTTCTCCATTAAACTTAACACTGAATGAAACTGTTGTGACACATTTCATAATCCATCCCACCCATTTCTCATCAAAGCCAATCTTGATTAGGCATGCCTCCAAGAAATCCCATTCCACTCGATCTTAGGCTTTCTTCATATCTAATTTGAGAACCGCTTGAAATTTCTTTCTTCTCTTTTGAATTCTAATTTGATGCAACACCTCCTGGACAATAAAGATGTTATCTTGAATTTGCCTCCCGCCGACGAAAGCACTTTGTTCCATTGCAACAAGTTCTGGTAGAAGTGGTTTGAGTCTATTGGCCAGCACTTTTGAGATAATCTTGTAGCCAAAATTACATAAACTAATTAGGCGGTATTGATCTAGTCTCTCTGGGTTCGGGACTTTCGGGATAAGGGAGATGTGTGTTTTATTTAAATCTGGTGGCAGGGATCCAGTGTTGAAGAAATTCCTCACCTCCTTTAGAATATCCCATTTAATCTCTTCCTAATTTTGCTAATAAAACAAACCACTAAGGCCATCAGGCCCCGGTGCTTTTGCTGCGCTGAGCTGGAAAGTTACATTCGTTACTTCTTCCAAGATTGCCTCAGCCAACAAGAGGTGATTCATCTCTTCTATTACCACCCGAGATACCTGATCCAGAACTGGGGAGAAATTTCGAGGGCCGATAGATTGATATAGATCTCGGAAAAAAAGTAGAGTATGCTCTTTCAACTGGCACTGCTCAAATAGTCATGTATTCTCTAAAATATGAAGCATAGAGATCCTATTCCTCTGTCGCCTCTGAATGGTAGTTGCATGAAAAAAAAATTGTGTTTCTATCTCCCCATTTCAACCAATTAATTCTCGATTGCAACCCCCAATACGTCTCTTCCTGCCTCCATAAATAATCAATATCTTCTTGCAGGTTTTTGATTCTCACTTTGTCAAAGGACCCCATGGTATTGTTTGTCAGCCACTGCAGTTCCTGTTTCAGCAAGTTGATTTCCCTATGTCCATTCGCGAATTTCTTCTTACTCCATTTGGAAAGAGCAAAAGTTACGGCCTGCAACTTCCCGACTAAATCCTTTTCAAAGTGAGTGGGAGAGCTCCAAGTTTCTTTCACCACCTTTCTACATTCATCACTCTCAAGCCAGAAGGCTTCAAACTTGAATTCCTTTTTTCGTTTTACAGGGTTAGCCCAAAGAGATAGAAGTATAGGATTGCGATCTGATCCTATTGCTGGGAGAGCATAAGCTTCCGCTTCAGGGAACATCAACCTCCATTCAATCGTACATACCACCCTGTCAAGTCATTCTTTAACGTACTCATCCCCTTCTCTATTATTGGCCCAAGTGAACGCACACCCTTTACTGTCAATGTCCATCATTGAACAAGCCTCTAGACAATCCCGAAAAGCATTCATTCTATAGTTTTCAGCCAAGTGCTTTCCAACTTTTCCCAGTAAAACCGCACCACGTTAAAGTCACCCAAACACACCCAAGGCAGTACATTCATGGAACTTATATTTCGCAATTCCTCCCAAAGTTGTAGCCTTTTTTGGTACAAATAAGAAGCATGAACAAATGTAACTCTCATTTCCTTTCCACTAACCACCTCTTTACACCTCAAATTCACAAAATTCGTCAGACATTGAGTCTATTTCTAGTGAAATTCTTTCATCCCACAGAACAGCCAAGCCTCCCGCCGTGCCCACAGGATTAACTACAAAACAACTCTGAAAATGGAGTCTTCTCTTTATTCTCTGAATAACTTCAGCCTGATTTTTCGTTTCCATCAGAAAAACCACAGTGGGCCTAAAACGAGCCGCTAAAGCTCTTAATTTTCGGACTGTCAAGGGTGTGCCCAACCCTTGACAGTTCCAGCATAGTATATTCATGGTTCAAAGCTACATTTTATATATCAGTTATTGATCGAAGCTAGCCATCAAGCGCCGAGAAGAAAATAGAGAGAAAAGAAAAGAGAGAAGAAAAAGTGAGTTTTTTTTTGTGAGTGTTTTCAATCTCTTTGTGCCCCGATCTTGAGAGAAGATCATTAGTGTATTCCTACTTTCTTTGAAGTCTAGTGGATTCGCAAAGTGCCTCTGCGTGGAGACGTAGCCCAGGTTTGGATGAACTTCGATAACAAATTATCTGGTGTGTTCTTTCGATTCTGTTTTTTCTATTATTATATTTTGCTAGTGAGGATCGTTTGCTTGGGTTATTTTTCTGGTATCGGTGTACAATTCCCAGCAACTGGTATCAGAGCTTGGTTGATTAATCGAGAACATCAAGGATTTTTCGGTGACATTTGATTAAAAGCAAATGATATGGCAGAAGATAAAATTAGAATCGATAAGTTTGACGAGCAGGATTTCGGATGGCGGAAACTTCAAATTAAAGATTATCTTTATCAGAAAGATCTCTATGCACCACTTGAGGGTTGGAAACCCAAACTCGCGGAAGTGGATCCGACAACAGAATCGGGTGTTGCGACCCTCTTTTTCCGTTGGGAGAAAAAGGAACATGTTTAGGTGGTATTGCCCAAAACGTTGGGCCGATGGCCCATCGATCTAGGCGCGAACTCTCCCCAAGTTCATACCCCGCATGACGTTGGATTTCGTTTTAAATTCTCAACAACCTAAGTATTTCTAGGAGTCGCCACTAGCCTATTAGGATCGGCTAGAAACCGATCAAAACGCAAGAGTGTTGTCTCAATTCCTACGCAACCAAAGATTCTAGGGTCGGGGACTTATTTACGCTAACATTTCTATAAGCGCCCTTTTGTTACCTAACTTGAGAGTGCGTTATCTAAGTGGCCACACGATCTTTGTAACGCCCCACCTCGGGGTTATTCATGTGACGTCCCGTTCATTATTATCTTTCGTTACACACAAGCGGAAGCATAATTTCGGGACAATCACATTCAATACACACAGCGGAATAAGACAAGAAGCATCATGAGCAAACCTTATATTTACAACGCATGCAAACATATTTTAACAAGCCCGTTCTTTTGGGTCATGGCAATTATCACATATTTTCATAGCCGACTATGAATAGCAAAACTTGACTTGGATTACCCTATACCCACTACGGCTTCTCGCTCCTCGCTCCTCGCTTCTTCACCTCCACCCCGGTCCCGTCCGCCTGGCCATCTCACATCCCACCCGTGGCTTTATCTCGGAGATGGCCCGCCCGTACCGCCATAGCACCGTTGAACCCACATAGGAATCCAATCCATTCTTCGTTCGCATAGCGATACCACGCCACGTACGGATGAGGCACCAAGTCCGTTAGGCCCTCATCGAACATCACAAGAGTCGTGATTCGGCGGTAGGCGCGGTCTTCTTTGACATCTATCACGGTGAGCACTTCGGCTCTCTGCTCCACGGGATTGCCAACGCGGGCTGGGGGAGATGCCATCCTACGAACCTGAAAAAGGGGAAACAACGGGGGATGAGTCGGGGAGACTCAGCAAGTGAAAACACTAATATCAAGTGAGGATATATCGATCGCCGTTAACATAAGTCGGCCCTTACCGCACCCGCATCGATGGCAAATCAATAGCAAAGTTCAAACAAGAGACATCATGCATGGCCACATCATGTATACTTTACCAACCAAGGCTTGGTTCTATCTCAAACAATATGAA